CAATCTAATGAACAAAGAAAATCAAATTATGATTGTAAAGTATAAACTTTTTGACATTTTAGTATTTGAGTACCTGTCTTTCTTGTCTTGCAGAATCTACCTAATAAAATCAAACAATGAAAGGAAAACAGAAAGGAGAAATTAGCATAGCCAGACATTTCAGGCATATAATAATTTGTGATAATAAGATTTACTTTCACTTCCAGCATGTTAAGAATTGTTTTTGGAATTTTGAGACAAGAAAACCAAGGAAGTATGATTAGTGGGGTAGGAGGATAAAAATATAAAAGCAAATTTACCTGATGAAGATTGGGAGAAACAGAAGTTTGATTAGGGGTGATTCGGTTATTAAATGTGATTGACGTTGCTTTTAGTTTTTCAACAAGGTAAAACAAAAGATAGTGATGGCTATTTGGAAAATCAGCAACATAGAAGCTGATGCTTTCGTTGGTGGATGGATAATGTACTTACTCTGGCTATCCAGTGAGTTTATTCAATAAAATGGTATATTTTCCTTCTGTCACAAATCGCTATAAATAAGCAACTCAAATGTTTAGTATTTCCATTAAACAATTTACCAATATAAATCATACTTCTATACAACTTTATAATTTGGTTTATACAAGTAGTTCAAAACATCACAAGGGTAAATGAATTTGCGAAATTAAGAGCATCCATCTGATCTGATTTTTAAGGAACAATTTGTGGCTTAATATTTTTCTTAAGAACAGCAACATAGAAGCCAATGCTCTCGACAGTGAATGGACAATGTAGTTACTCTGGTTATCCAGTGAGTTCATTCAATAAAATGTTATACTCTGTTTCTGCTACAAATTGCTATAAATAAAGAAATCAAATGTTTAGCATTTCCATTAAACAATTTACCAATATAAATCATACTTTTATGCAACTTTATAATTTGGTTACTAATAGTAGCTCACAACATCACAAGGGTAAATGAATTTGTGAAATTAACAGCATTTATCTGGTTTTTAAGGAACAATTTTTGGCTTAACATTTTTCGTAAGAACGGTTCTTTTTAATGTTTTAACACCTATATATAGGAGTGACCAATGTTACACTGAATCGTGTATATCAAATGAAACAAAAAGAAAAAAAAGGATCAACTTCTCAAGCTACCCATAGTACTGGTGTATTGGCAGCAAGCACTGTGCTTGATATAGTAAAACCACCATTATACATGCGCTGTATCTCCTTCCGGCATTCTGTTAAAGAATTATCTGGTATTGGCAGAGTTAATTCAATTTCATTGCCTATTTTTAGGTTGCAGGTGGGATCACAGACTTGTTCATGGTTGAACTAAGGCCTTAGCTTTTCCTTAAGAGGGAGAAGAGTTTGCTGGGAACTCTTAAATTGATATCTGTAAATCTAAACAACAGATAATACGTCATGTTTGATACCATGAAATTACACACTTATGCACTGTCTATTCTATCACGGGAAAAAAAAAAAAAACTCCATAACAGTA